TAATTCTTTCGAAAATCAGCATGGTAAAGGAAGAATCTCATTTTGAAAAAGGACAAATTAAGTACTTTTTAAAAACACCCCAATGAAAAAAAGCACCTTTAAGGGCTTTTAAAAAACGAAAATCGAAAATAAGCACCTTTAAGCACTTTTTAAAAACGCTGCGCACTCTGTTTAAGTTAGGCATTGGGTTGGGTTTTATTTGATTAATTTTAGAAGATTATTTTTTCTTATTATATTTATTTCCTAACTAAAAAGCTTTAAGACTCAACTAAATCATGTTACACATTTCCTAAAGCACAAATTTCCATTAAAACAAGCACGAAATCTAAGTAATCTCTGCGTTCAACAATCAAATTTAATTATTAAGCATTAGAATTACTTTTTGGAAATTCAACCGTCAACTAGTCGTTCACATTCCAAAAGAATCAGTGAGGATATTAGGGTTGTGAAGTTCAGAAATCTATTGCACATCTGAGCAGAAATGACTAATTCAAAAAAACTTACATTTTAAAAATCCTATTGATTTCTTTTCACGTGTACTCATTGACACTCGAAAAACAATGCTTCATTTGTCACAAACCATAAACTGGAATTTCGTGCGCAGTAAAAATAAAGAAAACGCCTTGATTATTTTTTGATCAAATGATTGATTTTTCACGTATTAAGATGCTATCTTAATTATTCAAAGGATGAACTTTACATTTGCGCAGATGATATTAGACACAAAAAGGCGTTTTTTTTTTCTAAATTGACATTTTTTTCCTCTGATGGAACTGTTTATGGGGAAAGCCTTAATCTGGTAAATATAGACCCAATAGTTACGGCAAAAGGACGGTAGGTTCTTGAACTATTTTGAATAATTAAGAAATTTTTCTCACACTTATAAAATTTGTTTATTCAAAGATAATAAAAATATTTTTTTTAATAATTGTTTATTTTGATAATGATCAAAAATTTTGAATTAGAAGGTAGAGAAATTTTTTTATCTTTTAACTATACAATTTTAAATGACAATGTCCGTAATTTGAACGGAATCTGTCAAATAGTTCTTGAGAAATGAAAATTCAAAAGTATGGCTCTTTTGATACTATTCAGTATAGAAAACTTAAATGAGACCAAACTTTTGATCACATTCTTGGCTAAACTATTTTTGCTGTATTTTCTAGATAGTTCCCTTATACTTTGAGGGACAAAATTTCAATTGCATCATATGAAAAGCATGCTTAATCAGAGAAAGTATATTTTTTTGTCAGATTTCGTGACTTGAAGTATTGTATGCCCACATAATTAAGGTTAATCCTTTGAATGATTAAGAACGCATCTTAGTACGAAAAATTCCGACAATTAAACCAAAAACTAATATGTTCTTTTTATGCCTGTTCTGTTTATAATTGTATATGTTCTGTTATATATGTTCTGTTTATAATTGTATGCCTATTGTATACTTGAAGTATAATCATTTCTTGCTTACATAACCATTAGTGCATGTCCATTGTCGATTTTGCCAGTGTATGTTGTTGTTGTCATCGGCTATTAAAGCAGAGGGGAAGCGATAGTTCTTGTTTTCTAGTGGCGCCATCTATGGCCAAGGAAACTTCTGCAACACCCGTACGTCACACCCGTTTATAGAGCGGACCCATTCATACATCCACAGATCATAATTTTGACCTGAACCAGAGAACGATCAATCTCAAATTCAAAACCTCCAGAGGTATATTTTTCTATGGGAATATGGAGGACTTTATGACCCAACAGATTTAACGTGCATCAGTCACCACTTACTACACGGGAAGTCTTCGGAAGACTGGATGCCAACTCCCGTTCTAACAAACAAGAGTCCTGCAAACCAGGCTATCTCGGCCCACCGGTGTAATTGAATGATACAAATCAAAAATGTCTGACTTACGCCAAAACGTTTTTGTGGATTCAAATCAGCTTAGAAAATCGGAATGCAGGAAGACTCTCATAGCCATTACATGCATACAAAAGTAATTATTAAAAGAAAAATAATACCAATGTAATAAGGTAATTTGCTATTCTATTTCAAAATTCTACGTTTTAGAAATAGAAAAGGTAGGTACTTTTTCATGTGGCAATAGAGCTGCAAAATGGGCTATTGGCGACGGACTGGGAAACATCCCTGAGGATGATCCGAAGACATGCCATCACAATTTTGATTCTCTGCAGAGGGGATAACTCCCCTGCTTTGGAAGCCCGACGACCTGCGTAGAGTCAATCACTTTACGATAGAACAGTTCAACGAGGATCGACACCGCGTACCTTTGGTCTCTAAGCAGGCTGATCAAAGTGATCACCCACCCGCTTATTGACCGCAGTCAGTGGTGCTTGACTTCGGTGTTCTACTGGAACTTTCAGTGCGTGTTCTACTGGAACTTTACTTTCAGTGCGTTGCGGGAGAGATTAAAATGGAGAAAATAATTTTGTCAGAATTATAAACAGAAAATCTAGGGTGCATCACTTCCGAAAGATGTGGTAGGAGGGAAATTTTAGATCGTGATAACCAAACTGATGCACACCCTACGTTTTTATTCTTAGAACCAACAAAAATAAAATTTTCTCCTTTTAGTCATCTTGAAATCACCTTTATAATTCTGTGTTTGTTGTTTTTCTTTATGACGCAAATTGGCCGTAATTTCGACTAGGCGATAAATTTATTTTGCTTGCACCATTCAGGAAGTTATTGTAACTTATAGTTGCATCAGGCACCTGTTAAAAGTTAGTCCGAAAGTTCATGATATTTCAATTGAAGATATAAATTCTATTTAAAAATACCAATTTTGCTATTAGAACTTGTATTGTCATACAGCACAGAGCTCCAGTTTAAAAAGCAGCATTTATCCCCGTTGGCGATAAAAAACTGTTAACAACAGGAAACGAACAACTTGCAGGAAACAGGAGGAGGACAGGAAACGAACGAAACTTGCAATGTCAACAGTCACGGAGCTGTAGTAGATATGAGTATTCTAGCTAGTAAGAAAATGATAGAAATATCGAATGCAAGAATCCGGCCTCACAAACGTGAAAGCTAGTTTATAAAAACGTAGTAATAATTAAATATTTGACACAAGAATTTTAAAAATAGTCAATTTTTATAGCCGTTTACTATTTTTATTTCATTTCATAGCAGTCGTTTTTATACAGCCAATCTAATCGTCTCAATAAATATTTGAAAATTAAGTTCCTTAAAGTTAGTATATTTAACTAAATTTTGTCCCATATTTTATTTTATTTTATAACCGTCGTTGAAAGCCGACCCAATCCATTGGGTTTATGACTATCAATGTTCTACTCCGAAGCCTTGTAAATTTGAACCTAGTCTAGAAGACAAGAGAACTACTGGATCAAGTATAGGAAGAAATTGTGCCTTAGTTCAGGACTTTTTAATGTAACTAACCCGCATTTGCGTTATATGGAGAGGAAAACCATTGTCACATATTTATGCAGTCTAACCCCGCTACAGTGAACGTTCAAGGGTCCGAAATTTCGGGTTCACAATAACCGGGAGTTCACTATATCCGTTAAGCAGGCAATTTAACTAATGGTTCCCGAACTTCTTCCTTTTATTACACATTATGCAAATAAATGACTGAAAAATATTATCTAGTAGTAAAAAATTTGTTATTTTTCATTACTCTTCGTCTTGCGTACAAGAAAAAATTAATAATCTTCAGCTAATGAGCAATCTTCAATATCAGATATGGAAACACTTCCCGACTCTCAGATAATTTTTCCTGAATTTCTTTTATTCCGCTTTTTAAACCTATGTAACCTGCCATTCAAGCACATAAAAGTAGTCTCATAAAATCGTTTTGAAAATTTATCGACATTTGTCCAGATACTGGAAGATTGCGGCTTCTTCGAATGGTGAACCACTTCAGTGATGCTTCTTCAACATCCTTGTGATCTGCTCTTCTCAACTTTTTTCTGCCATCTAAATTTTTTTCATGAACAGAAATTATTAATTGCCTATTTTTCCATATGTTACGAACTACAGATTTGGATAGCTTACACTCCCTGCAAATGTCAGCTTGATTGCATCCATTTTCAATATTTCTGATTATGCGCATTTTATCATCAATGGAAAAACGTTTTACGTTTACTGCTCGGCATAGTTAAATTTAAGACACTTGTTTGCAGGATGTTCTTAACTGAACTGAGATCAAAAAGGAGTTGAAATGAGGGCCTTATCAACACATATTAGTGACCAACCCTTTGACCAATTATGAATAATTACTCATTCCATCTGACAGAAAGTGCATATTGATCCCACTGACACCTTACAGGTGCATCATCTGCCTGGGTTGGAAACATCTGACTTGGTTTGTTTAGGGATGGGAGAGTGAGATAAAAGTAAACAAGAAAAAATGTTTATCGCCACATTCCCCTCTATAGATGGTTTTAAAAGTCGGTATATGTATCTATTTTGAAGAAGAAATTTCAAAATTACTACCAAAAAAATGAAGAAAAAAATCAGTCGAAGACAGAAAAGAATTCATTATATCCAACTTCCTTACTTTTTTGGTTCACTATATCCACAAAAAATAACATTACACTTGTATAGCAAGGCACGGGACCGAACATTTCGTTCATCCGGGAGTTCACTATAAACCGTGTTCACTATAGTATTATTTTTATTGATGAATTAACTTTTATAGCTATATGTAACTTCTCTAATATGAAATATTTTTCAAATATAATTTAATCCAAGAAAGAAAAAAAAGACTTGCAAAAGGTGGTTTTTAAATGAAAAGGATCTATCAATATCAGTTACAGACTCATTAGGCTTGAGGAAAAAGCCTCTACTAAGTTATTAGGCCCCCAACTACTAACTGAAAATTTTCCTGTCTAAATTCTAAGAAGGTGCAAAATTTTAATACATATTTTAAAAATTTCAGCCTTGGTATATAAAAGTAGAAAATAGGACGTAAACGTGAAAGCATTGGCAGCTATAATTAACTAATTTAAAAAAAAAGGAACAGTATTTCTCAAATTCTTTATTTGTGATCTTGACTTAGACTTGAGATAAGAAGCACCAAAAACATTACAGAAATATACTTCATACAATTAAATCAAACAAGTCAAAACAATTTTTATTATAGCTTTTTCTTCTAAAAAAAATTAATTTTTTTGGACCACAAAGTTTGAGCATGAGAACGTTGAAATAAATACACTTAGTTATAACCTTCCAACAAGAAGGAAAAACAACGTTAGAGATATTATATTTCAAATCCTTTCATCACTATTCATTCTCAGTCAAATTTATACAACAACAAAAAAGCTAATATAAAAATAAACTGTATATAAAGCAAAATGTATTTACACATGAAAGAAAAAAAGATACAAAACAAAATTGTGCATATTATATTGTACACTATAAAATGATAAAAGCTGCTATCAGATATGAAAGCAAATTTCAAAAGTAAAATGAATGAATATATATATACACACATACAGTTAACACAAACCTTGAAACCTGGGGCCTTTGAGTTTTATCTAATTTTATATTAAATAGATCATTTCACTTATCTATTAAATATGGCAATTTTAGTTTGGAATAGATAAATTTTAAAATAATTTTTAGAATACAAATACTTAAAAACACAAAATATGCACTTAAGTATTTATTATTTGCAGAAAAGAATTTAATTTTTCTGCAGTTTCAGAATCAGTAGCCAACAAATTAATAAATTTTAATTCCTTTACTTTTTGAAATTTCAACCTCTTAGCAGATAATTTAATTAAACAAATAATGCAAAAATAAATAATTATTGCTTCGATATATAAATTTTTTTTAAACTGAAAATTTTGTTGTTTACACCCACTAAGGATGGTTTATAGAGAATCTAGATTTATAGAATTGCATTATATAGATCTCTCTATACTATATAATTACACAGCCGCCAACTTGTTCAAAAAAAATAGGAACACAAAGCATGATAAGCCAATCAAAAGCAATTATTTTACAAAGTGAAAAGCAAAATATCAAAACATCAATTGATAATCCATACACGTTTCATATTTAACATAATTTTTTGAGCTAACAGCTTTAATTAAATTACTTACTAATGACGAATATCACACCTTTAGAGTAACTAATTCAAGAAAATTCAATTCTGTATTTTAAAGTCGCGTGAATACGATTCGCGATGTCGCATTTTAAAATGCGTGAATACGAATCGCGATGTTGGATTTTAAAATTACACGAATATGAATCGCGATGTTGGATTTTAAATTAAATTGAATATAAATCGCGATATTGGATTTCAAATACAAATATTGCGATATTGAATATTTAATTCGCGTAAATATGAATCAAAATGCATAATTTTTAGATCGCGTAAATACGAATCGCAATGCGTAGTTTTTAAATAACGCATAAATGCGAAAATCGATGCTTGATATAACTGCATGTATACGAATCGCAATATTGGATTTTAAACTCGCGTGAATACGAATATCGATATTGGATTTTAAAAACGCGCAAACAAAAATTAAGATATTGGATTTTTAAATTGAGTGAATGGGAATCGCGATGTACGATTTTAAAATCGCGTAAATAAGAATCGCGATATTAGCAGATTCCGAACTAAAGGAATCAAATTGGCGGAAGTATGACATGTATGTGAATATCTCGTTAACGAGATTTAGCATAAGTTTCAAAATTTCGTCTGATTATAAGTTTTAGATTCGAGGAAGTCTACTAACCAATGGTATTGAGATATGCGGAATTCTGCGATATTCGCGGGGAAATAACATACCCTGCTTCTAATTTTTAGATCTGCCCTGGGATGAAAGAAAATCGGCATAAGGAGTGGAAAAGGCCGAAAAATCAAATATTTTAACCTAAAATCGTATTTTCGGAACAAGGCTAAATAATCGGAACAGTTAGCAGCTGTATGTATGTATGTATATATATATATATATATATATATATATATATATGATCCTCATCATGATGTTATATTATTTCATAACTTTCAGACTTTGGCAATTAAAAAATCACTAATAAACATATATGTCCCTTTTTGAAATAATTAATGACCGTTAAAACGTAGCTTCATATAAATAATATAGACTAAATTCATTTGCAAAATTAGAATTAAATAAGATCTCAGAAATATATTCACAGTTAAAACATACCAGTTTAAAACAAATAAAATGCTGTTGACAAAAAAAAATAATGGGCATTTATTTGGGGTCAAATGCCATAAGACGTTACGAGGTTACAAGAAAGTGATTTACCTCATAGCTGATAAATTTCCTTAAATCATCCATCACTTCTCATACTTAATTTATTGAAGCAAAAGTTACCACCGTGAAATACTTTTTTACATTACTTAACCGAAAAGTAAACTTAAAACATCCAACATAAAGTAACATACAAGTTCATTTACCAACTTAAACTAATTATGATTAAAAAACTAATTATTAATAAAAGCAAGTCACAAAATTAAAATTATTTTTACAGGATGGCTATCAATAAGCTAAAATGTAAATTCAGAAACTACTTAGTTCAACAATTTTACACAAACCTTCAAATTAGCTAGATATTCAGATTTAGTTGACGGCATCTTTGATATGTTTATCACCAATGGCCATGAGTTGGCTAAGATAAAAATCAGACTTCTGCAAAACTCGTTGAAAAATGATAAACAAAAGAAGTTCAAAAAAATTCCAACATAATCTGCAGTCAACAGCCAAATTTCAACTGAATGTTGTTAACACTTCAAAAGTTATCAAGGTTTATTTTTCGTATAGTTCACTAATTGTCACCCTGTATCTTATGGTGCTAATTATTGTTAGCAAAGTCTTAAAGTAACAGTAATTCGTCCTTAGTATAGGGTATTTAAAAAATTAAATAATTGATACAATTAATATTAAGGTACTGTGATTCATACATCATTGCTTGTTTATAGCCAATGCCCATGAGATGGCTAAGGTAAAAATCAAACTTCTACAAAACTGGCTGAGAAATCGTAAGATCGATGATTTTCAGAATTGCCATATTTTGTCATTCTTGCTGAAGAATGATAAACAATACAAGTCAAACCGCAAATTTCAACTGAATGTTGTTAGCAGTTTAAAAGTTATCAAGGTTTATTTTTCATACAGTTCAATAATTGTCCCCTGTATCGTATGGTGCTAATTATTGCTTGAAACTCAAGCAAAGTCTTAAAATAATAATTCCATCTTTGTATAAGGTGCTTACAAAACTAAATAATTGGCATATTCAATATTAAAGTATATTTAAAGTACCGTGATTCATACAACGTATCCTAATCCTGGAAGTTCTAATCCGATCTCAAGACTAGAATCTGGTCTGACTCAGATAAATCATATATTATTTGCAATGTTGGAGAAAGAAAACAAAAAAAAAAAAAAACTAAAAGCTCCAACCCAAAAATTTATGAACTAAAAAAAATTTATGCTTACTAAACAGTCAATGAAACTAAAATTATATACAAAGTTATATACATAATTCAATGCAGCAACCTTAAATGATAAAAAGAAACTTTAAAAAAAAACATCATAACTCATATTAAGTAATCACGCATAGGCATGTGATTTAATGCAATCTACAAATTATAGATTCCAGATAAAATAATGTGAACAATGCCATATTATTTATGTATCGTCACTGTTTCCTTTCCTTTATGAATCGAAACTAAATATATTTTCAAAAACAATGATTACAGAGAGCTTTCTTTATTAACGTAAACCATTAAGAAATTTTCAGTTTCTTTTTTAATAAGAATTCCATAAGCATTTGTTTTATTAAACAAATAAAGAGACCACAAAATCATTAATCTAATTTTAAAGTATACATAAATATGTAGGTGAAACTCATGTTTATAAAAATATTCATACCGACATATAAATATTTTCAAGTGCATTCAAAAATTATTACTTTCGAAATCAGTGTCATTTTTAAAAGAAACAAATTTCTTTGTTCAACTATTTTCGGTTTCGTATAGATACAATGACAAAAAAGAACACACTGCTCCTTCTATAATAATTTGGCAGTTTTCATATATATTTGCCATCCCTTATTATAATTTTTTAAAAATAAAACGTAAACATTAAATTTAGCGAAAATTGAGCAACAATAATATGATACCACATATAATCAATCACACCTTTGAAAAAAGTGTTTGAATTAACAAATGATATGAGACAGGAAGAAAAGTACTTAAGTTTGAGCTAAAATATATGAAACAATATACAAAGCTTTATTATTTTTTAACCCTCTGTGATCCTAGTTAGACTCACACTGGCATTATAAATTTGATGTTGTGATCCTAAGCTGGGTTTGTGTCCAACATAGATATCGCAATATTAATTAATTTTATGAAATTGGTTTAGCTATTTATTCCTGTTTTATTTAAAGCATACTGTATCAGTCTAAAAAATAACTGACCTAGAAGAAAAAAATCCTTTTTTTTAAAAAAAATGGACTTCAAAGGGTTAAAAAAAATTAAAATGCAAATTAAAATATAAAACTGGCCTTTTGTCATTTTAAAATGACTAATGGAACATTAATGTGAATGAAATAAATGAAAAATATGATGCTACATGAAACAATGAAATCACAAATTAAGTTTTTTTTTAAAAATAAAAAGTACTTTTGTTTGCAGGAAACATTTTTAACGTATAAGCAAGAATAATTTTTGAAAAGATTTATGAAGGAAACAATGATATAAAAAGAATGAATTAATGTTTAAAGAGAAAATTCAAATCTCAATTATTAACTGAGAACTAAATTAAATTCATTGCACGAGGATAAATGGTCCTTTGAGAATAGCAAAAAATTCCTTAAAATAAATATTATAAAAAAAGACAAAAACTTAAAAGGTTAAAAATGATATTAATTTTGACAATTGGTATATAAACGAATTTAATAATGACATTATTATAACTCATTTAAATTAGATCATAATTTAGAAGGTAAACTACGTGTGGGCAGGATGATTTACAATAAAATATCCAATTTAAATATAATAATTAAAATCATTTCTAAAAAACTTATACAATTACGAAAAATTATTTATCAATTAATTAAAAATACTACTTTATAAAATTTAAGAAGAATATTAAAGCTCTTAAAAATAACCATTTAATGGATTGACTCTGAAAAATAAAATTGCGGCAATCAAATAGTTTTCTTTTTTTTTTTTTTTTAAAGTTACAACAAAAGACAAATTTGTCACGAATTATCTAAAATAGTATTTTAAGTGAATCACAATATTTTAGATTTAAAGTCCTATTTTAGATTAAACCTTCATTATAATTAATGCATGCATTATCGAAATTTATAGAAGGAAAAGCCTAGTCTTTTAAAATCTTGTTTCCAATTAATATAAATACAAAAAAAAAAATCTTATTTTTTTTAAGTAAAATTTTACACATGCTAGTGACAGTTTTCATTTCAGAATTCAAACTAACTTTTTCATTTTTTCCATAATCAGTGATTAAAATTAACCATATAACCACAATAATTAGCATTCCCAAAATAAAAAAATTTAATTTCTTAAAAAATACAGAATGCAGCAACAATTCCATTCGCTTCGTGCAATAAATTTTACTGAAACTATTTATGCACCATGAAAATGAAAGAAAAAGCGTAAGTATAGGATGCATTAAATTATAATCACATTTATTGTTAACCTATCTAAAATCAAAAATGATATTTAAAAATATTAAAAAATAAATAGCAATGGCTGCATACACTTTTAGACAATATTCGGGCATTCCAGCAAAACAAGATATCAAGTATCCATAACTTAAAAATACCCATTTTGTAAGTCCATTTAAAATATGCCACAGATAAATATTCTTTGGTTTACAGCACACTGATAACTCATTAATTATCAGGCTTAAAACAGCACACTTGCTCGTGCCCTGCAAACTACAATACCATTTCACTTTCCATCACAGTTGCAGCGACTGAAGCTGATTCAAAATGTGCTGGTCCAAAAAGTCAATAAGCTAGAGGAAAAAATCAACGTTTAAAAGATCCCTTGGCAGATTTGAAGCTTGACCGTAGAGAGCTTGTCTTGGATGATGATCCAGAGCTTTTACCACTAGAACTAGTGCTAGGAATGGCTTTATCAACTTTCTCCTTGGGAGGTTTGGAGGGCATGGCTGTTCGTTGATCCTCAATGCGACCACCCTGCAGTCGCACTATGAGACTGAAGAAGTCCTCATCGGGGACAGTGGGAGCTGTGTGGCTGTTAGTGCCATTGCAATGTGTCATGGAATACAGGTGAGGTCTGTACATGGGATCTGGCATACTGCTTCGTTGGTCTTCCAATCTACTGTCCTAAAAAGTAAAGAATTCAATTTGTTGAAGACAATTTGTTATGTCTTGATCAAGAATGCTGAACAAAGAAAGCTAAATATGTTGATCTTCAAAGCAAAATGTTTTTAAATGATAGGCATTAAATAATTTTGGAAAAAATAATTGCACAATAAACTTTTTCAACAAGTTTTTTTAGCTTTTTTGTTAATGTTTCTTAACTTTAATGTTAAATGTCAGTAACAACTGAGCAAATATGGAAAATATTAAGCGTTTGTTTTGTAAACACACTTTATGAAGCTCCGCCCCTCCCAAAAAACAGTGCTGTTCCTTTTTATGATAGTATTTTTAAATATCTATCAAAATGAAAACTGCACATATTTTTGGATTTAAAAAGATATTCTTAATATATATATATAGGTTGGTTGGTTCTAATGCCACTTGCCACATGGGCTAGCCTGCTTGGTGAAACCGAGCAAATTTAAGGCAGAGTGTGCGATTCTTGTTTTTCAGTGGCGCCATCTATAGCCAAGAATTCGACTTCTGCCACGTAATACGTCACACCTGTTTATTAGGCGGACCCATTCGTACATCCATTCATTCATCCACAGATTGTAATTTTGACCTGAATCAGAGAACGATCAATCTCCAATCCAGTACCCCCAGAGGTTTTGATTTGTTATGGGAGCAAGGAGGACTTTGCGAATTGACAAAATTTTAACGTGCATCAGTCACCAACTACACGGGGAGTCTTCGGCCGGCAGAGTTCGAACGCACGAACATGGCCCAGCGCCCTACCAACCAAGGTATCCCGGCCATATATATATACTCCATTTAAAATAAAATTAATCGTTGTCTTACATCTTAAGAAATCCTTGCGACTCGTTTAGATCAAAGCTAATTTTTAAAATAAAAAGAATTCATACAAATGATACAATGATTAAATTTTACAATAAACTTTTCAAATTATAAATAAAGTCAGTTCATACAATAATTAAATGATAATTAAGACATGACGGCTTAGTGTTCATTGTGAAGACTGGGTTCATTGCCATGACTGGGGTTTGATCCCCAGTAGTGGCTTGAAGCCCGCTCAGCCTTAGATTGATGGATATCAGCTTGTCTGGAAAGTAAGTGCTGACCTCATTGCCAAAATCAACGAATTGGTAACAAAATTGTGGAAACTTAACCATCATGACCCTCCTGGCCCACAACAGGCTGTTACAGAAATGCTTTATTTTACATATAGTTATTAACTTTTGGTTCAGTAATAATAGGTGCACTATCATACTAACCAAATAACCAATAATCATCATAAGCAACAGATCAATTACATTCCAATAACATAAATCACACAAATTTTAGACAACATATTTAAGAACAATCAACAACATTATCTATAATGAGTTGATAATAAATAAAGAGTAAAAAGTTCAAAAATAGCAGGATTAATTATAATAAAAATGTATATATAAACATGAAGAATGATTGTAATTTAAAACATTAAAAAATATATAAAAATGTTCAGAACAAAAATTTAGCAGATAAAACTGCTACAAAAGTTTTAAGAATAGTGATTTGAAATTATATAAAATTTTACTTACTTGGCATCTCATAAGCATCTCAAAGAAATCATCATCCAGCACAGCAGAAGCATCATTAGAAGGTCGATGAAGCCCTTGGCCAGGAGGAATTGTATTATTATTATTATTGAAGTTATTATTGTTTCTAATAACTTCATTATTTAATGAAAAGTAATTGAGTCCTGGAAGACGAGGCAAACTAGCTCTTTGTTCATCTAGTCTCCGACTCTGCATTCCGGCAATAAGGTCGAATAAGTCATCGTGTACTTTATTGTTTTCTAAGAAAAAAGAGTTCAAAATATGTATCTTATATAAAAAAAAAAGAGAAACATGTTTGGCAAAATTATAATGCAACCCTTAAAACCTAAAAGGTTCCATAAAGGGTTAATTCTGTAAAAAAAAAAAAAATTACAAAAATAAACAAAAGTTTTGAGCATTTAAAGTCAAGAGGAGGATTAAAAATATGACAAAGTATACACTCCAAAAAAACTTTCATTAAAATAATTATCCCAATTTGGAACTCTTAGTTCCAGATGTCAAATTTGGTAGGTTCCTCTAGTACTAAGTACTTTATTGGTAGGTTACTCTAAGTACTTTATTGTTTTCTAAGAAAAAAGAGTTCAAAATATGTATCTTATAAAAAAAAAAGAGAAACATGTTTGGCAAAATTATAATGCAACCCTTAAAACCTAAAANAAAAAAAAAAAAAAAAAAAAAAAAAAAAAAAAAAAAAAAAAAAAAAAAAAAATTATTACAAAAATAAACAAAAGTTTTGAGCATTTAAAGTCAAGACGAAGATTAAAAATAAGACAAAGTATACACTCCAAAAAAACTTTCATTAAAATAATTATCCCAATTTGGAACTCTAGTTCCAGATGTCAAATTTTTAATAAAATTACATCAATAAAATTTACTTGTTAGGCTAATGAACCCTAAAGCAGTAAGTACTCAGAACTGAGATATGCATCAAACTAATGGAAAAAAAATCTTTAAAAAAAATTTTTTTTTTTAAAGAAAACAAACTACAATTATTACAACGTAGTTCTACAGTGGATCAAACAAACATTAAGCAACATTAAACTTGAGAAAATATGAAAAATTAAAATATATAATGCCATTTCAATTAATTTTACCAATTAGCAAGAAAAGGTATAATTCTTATTCCTACAAAATATTTCTATTGTAATATAATGCCATATTTTAGGAATAATTTGAGATTCTTTTTATAAACATAAATGATAATCTAGAAACAATCCAGCCAAACCTCGATCTCTCAGTTTCGCATCTTTTTTTCCCTATGTGTATCGTCTTGTTTTAACGGTCTCATCACAAATGCTATTATTAAAATATAATCAATACCCGTTTAGATTATTATTAAAACTAGTGAATTCTCATGTATATCATTCAGAAATCTGCAAACATTAAAAATTATAAAAACTATTTAGTATTAACTGAAAATAGTAACTTCTAATACTAATGATGAAGAAGAAAATAAGGATTTGTTACAGGTTGGGTAAAATGCCTCTAGCAGCACATTTGAGCTTTATGCATCAGTTGATAAAAATATTGAAATTTACGATGTTGTTGGTAGAAGAAATGCTTGCAAAAGATGAAGAAATGCGAAATCATGCCCATGAAGAAGACAAAACAGAACCGCAACTAATAAAACAATGGGCAACTTTCTCAGGGTGGCCTCTTTCCGGACAAAACCAAAATCTCTGAGTAAAGTATCACAAATTGTAACAATTTAACTTAATATAATTTTTCAAATAATTTGTAAGTTTATGCGCACGCATTAATGATTTGTATCTTAATATAGTAGAAAAGAAAATTAAATCAAAACTGTCAATTTTTCAAACTAAATTTGGTCATGGTTTTAATCCTAAAGTTTTCTCATATTAAATTTAAAAAATATTGATGATTTCTATTAAAATCTTTTGTTATGCATTTTATTACAGGCTTCAGATAAAGAGAAATTGGGTTTTAAGAACAATTATTGTTTCAATGTTTTAAGATGTTAAGAGAATTGAAAATATTAATTAGAACCTTGTTCAAAATTAGAAATGAATTATTTATTCGAAGAGCAATGGAGACAATGAAAATAAAAGAAATGTAAGACTGGATAAAGATTAAAAGATATAATTGGTTAGATAAAAGTGCCTATTAATAGACCAGGGTTTCCGCTACGGTAGCTTTTTTCGCAAAATGCGAAAAGACCCCTCAAAAATGCTAAAATTCAACAAAGCATTTTCGCATTTTTGCTAAAGGATTTTACTAAATTCCATTTAAAAAAAAAGCTTCCGCGAAAAACCATGACGCTAACATCCATGAAAAAAAAACTTGATCAAACAAGAAGGATTGATCAGACAAGATTTTATATACCAATGATGTGTCTGAACAGTACCCATTAATAACTTCTGTTATAGAGTATTGTGCAACAATACCAATACCTGTTGACTGTGAAAGGGGCTTTAGCTGCCTTAATTTGATTAAAACTAATATTCGAAACAGGTTGTTAATCAACCATGTAAACAATTTGTTAATGATTAATATTGAGGGCCCTGAAAGTGCATTTAACTTTCAAGAAGCATTTGTAAAATGGGCAAACATGAAAGAAAGGAAGATTGTTAATTATAAACCAAAATGTTTTGATAAATAATAAATGTGTCTTTTTTTTGTTATAGGTATTCTTTTTGATATTCTTGTACATTAAGCTATTCTTTGTCAGATAACTTACAGTACTTGTTTGATATAAAGTAATTTTATAAGCCTAATGGCATTTTAGCATTTTGCTAAAACTTTTTTTCAGATTTTAGCTTTTTTGCTAATGAATTTTTAGACTCAGCTTAAACCCTGTAATAGGCTGAAACACTTATTCATAGTTGTAAAATAATATTCATTAAAATGAATATAACTAACAATACTGCTGATTGCTGATATTCAAAAGAATTCCAGAGATGATGATCCCTAAAATTTCAGGGTTTCCGGTAGTATTTTCAAATTCCCTGGGAATTCTAGTTTTTTATATCTGGTGTGAGTTGTCATCCTGCATTCTGTATTCACATGAGCGTACAGAAAATAAATAGCAATGTTACAAACGTTGAAAAATTATTTTTTGCATTGAGATAAGAAAAAGGTATTTAAAATAAAATTTTTAAATATTCAGGGACATAACAGCATCATAACCATTTTGGACCAGAAAATTTTTTTGGACCAAGTAAACTTGGTTTTTGGAGAAAATATTTTTTATATTCTGAGTAGCACAATCAATTATTACATGTTAAAACAAATTTAAACGTATAACCACATTTATCAGAGCTTAGAAAAAAAATGAATTAATATATAAAATAAACATATTAGAAATTCCAACTAAGATTGAAAAAATTTACTATATGGGTTTCCCGTCAAAAGAAATTTAAAAATAGGCTAACCACAAAAACTACACCCGCACTGAGTGCATTATAATGCCCCCTTGATGATGATGCTCTGTTGTGAGAGTTCTATTTTCATTCTTTATTTCGTAAATAATTTCGATCATGCAATGCTTTTGACATTAGTTAAATAGTTCCTGCTACATGGATTTGTGTCATATAAATTGTTAATTGGGTTTGTGTCATATAATTTGTATTAATTAACATTTTTTTCAAATATATATACATATAAACTGACCTAAATATTGCTTCTTAAAACCATGTGGTTTTCTGATCGTTTTGCCGGCAATTCATTTTTCAACTATTTAAACATGGTTTTTCAAATTCCGCTATTTTAATATGTTGTTATTACGACAAGGGGATTTCTAATTGGAATTATCATTTCCTAATGCTTTGATTTAGAGCCAATTCCAAAATAAATAAACGCATTTGATGACCATTTTTATTGGCAAGTAATTATCATTTCCCCAGCTATTTTAACGCGATTTTCCAAATCTCAACATTTTTATTACGATAAGACGGAAAATTTTTTATTAATTATTTTTTAACAAACTCTCTCTATTTTTTTTAATGACAATTTCATCCCAAATGATGATTTTATCTACACCATTCTGCATTGTTTTTCAGGCCATTTTCACTGAGAATTTTTAAATATCAATATTTTTAATTAATATTTAATACAATGGTATTCATTATGAGAAGCCAATTTTGGATTTGAGTAACAACTACTTTTCAATGATTCATTAGAAAACCACTTTTTGACGTGGTTGAGTTTACTGTTATTCCATGTTATTTTAAGGTCATTCTTTCAAACATTTCCATGAAGATATTATTACAACAAGCGTATTTTGAATTCTGATGATGTATATTATAAATCACAAATCCACAGTTCACAAACTTTAAACTATGAATGAACTATAAACTATAAAACTTTGCTTATTGAAAAACATTTTTAAAATTTGTATCTATATTTTTCACTGTATAAAAATAACAAACTTTTTTTTTCAATACAGTGCAGCTGTTAATCATTTTCATACACAAGTAAATATCTTGGAGTCAATGTATAAAATGCTTACCTTTATCAATATTAGTTGCTTTATTGCCTTGATTAACAGGAGCAGGAAGGTTGAGGGGAAAATTACTTAAGAGTTGGTTATTTATTTTAGAAGAGGAAGCTTCTAAATTATTAGGAAAATTGCCAAGAAATTGGTTATTTTCCTTGTTTTCTGATGTCACCAAAGTACACCTCTGATCGTCCATTCGTTTACTTTGGAAGCGGCTCAAAAGATCAAAGAAAGAATCTTCATCCATAGAACCTTCTAAGTCCTGAAAAAATATCATTGTCAAAAGTGCAAAAAATATTTAGAAAAAATTTTTTTATGCAAACAGTACATGTGTGCAGTGATAATTAACATTGATGGAATTTTTGTTATAGAGAACTTATAATTATATATAAATACTCACATTCTATAACAAAAGAGCAATAAAACAAATTTTAAAATCTTAAATAAGTCACATTTACTACAATTTTGATTTAAAATACATAAATACTGTTTTCGCACATAGAGTATAGGTGAAACAATATACATGTAAAAAAAAAGGGAAATGGAGTGCAATAGTTTTTTAATGTCATCAATAACACCGGATATTGGTTTTATTAGTAAGCCGTCGAGAAGAGAAATAATGGGACATTGTAGATATGTGATTAAAAAAAAAGCACATTTACATTCATATGAATTTGTTGCAAGATTTTTAAAAATAGCTGAAATTTTTTTTTGTAAGGAAAAAAATAGCTTACCAATGGTCTCCCATACATAACTTAATAAACAAAGGTGAAAAGATGTTCATTTTTTTCCTTTTCAGTATCAATACAAGAAATGGACAGAAATGTTTTTCCTTTTGCTCTTTTTCATACATGCTCACTTAAACAATAGATTTCTATTTTAAAAAAAACTGCCCCAACAGTGAGAGGATAATAATTTTTAGCTCATTATAAACATACAATTTTTAAATCTTTATCAGCATTTCCACAGTGAATGGAAAATTTGTTGTAATATCAAACGCATCAAAACATGCTATGCTTGTTACGAGCTTTTACTGTACTTCAATGTAATCCTAAATGCAAAACAAAAAATTTTACCAGACATTATCGTACCCTGATTCAAACAAAGTTTTTGTTTAAAGATGAAAACTTGAGAAATGACTTTTAAATGAGTTATTTGTAAATTCAACAAGCTTAGTCATTCATTTATATTATTTAAAAAAATTTCAGTAGTAAATAATGTCAATTTACCTTTGAATCATTAACAGGACTTATTTTTGCATCTTTTGAGGCTTCCTGTCGCTCATTACTTGTTTCTGATTTTATCAAAACCTTTGGTTGAGTCTTTTCAGAAACAGCATTTAATTTCTTTTCTTTTTCTTCAACAGAAGACTGTAAAAAAAAAATTTATACTTTAAAATGCTTTGTCCACTTATTTTATTGTGGAGACATTTATTCCAATTTTATGAACCATTGGCGGCAAAGTGAAAATTTCTGATACATTTGCATTTTAGTGATAAAAGATTGATTATTGCATAGATTATTTTAAATAAGAGCTTGATTTGTTATCAAGTATCAATAAAGTTAAACAAATATGGCCATATTAAATAAAATAGTGAGCAGCATCTTCTATAATAGAAATGAAGAAATGCATTTTAAACATGAAGAAATTTATGTAAATTAATAATGGTTGAACAGAGGGGCAAAACCCTTCAGTCTTAATGCTGAGAATTTAAAATAAGTAGTGACTAAATTGTTCCGAAAAGATACCTGGGAGCATGCTAAGAAATGCATGATTGGCAATTTGTGGATAGATAAAATAGTCAAAAACAGAGTCAACCACAATATTAAAACGTTGGAAAAAAATTGCTTAAAAAAAAAGGGGGGGGGGGTTTGTGAACCTATTTGTTTTACCTATTTTTAAAATTACCAAAATGAGATATCTTTCTGCTTAGGATAGATTGACTCAAGCCAAAGTTTTTGAAAAATTTAAATCATTAGGTTAAAAATACAAGAGAAGAACAAGCTGGTTTCAGAAGTGATGCACCCAGAAAAATTTATTTTAAAGATCATTATTGAACAAAGTAAAGAATTTAATTATTAACATTGTACATGAAATTTTTTGACTATCAAAACAAATTGAAAATAAATAAAAATAAAACCAAAAGTATAAGAATAAATGTCAAGATTCAGCATGAAATTAAGATTAAAAGTTATGAAATAGCAAGGTTGCTACTGGGGTAAGACTTCAAAAATAGTTGCTACAGATATAAATAACATATCCAAAATAGTTATGAGAATAATTTTAATTACTAGCTAAAAACAATGAAAACAGGAAAAAAATTATAAACAAATTTTATTTTACTTTTTTAAAGTGTTAAATTCTATACATTTTATATTAATATGCAGCTATCAAAAAGAAACTAAAACAGGTCTGAAGATTGTCATTTCCCAAAATAATCTATGGATTTAACTCACTTCAGTGGTGTGAAACACATTGTAATAGCATTGATCAAATGGAGTGAAAGAAAAAAAATTTTACATGAGGATAGATATATGGATAATGGACATTGCAAAAAAGAACATAAGAACAAGGAATGGACAAAGCGAAAAAGAAAGGAATTCTTATTGGTACAGCAAGTAGTGAGATAAAATTGTGAATAGATTTTTTAAGTGGCAAATTGGTAAAAAAAGTCATCAATCTTTTCCATTCGGAAGAAAAAGAGCAGCCTTTTGCCTATATATTAACAAAATTAGTTGCCATAGTAGCTTTTTTTTCTCAAAATAATTACTCTACTCATCTTTTTAGTTGCAAATGTCAGCCCTTAGTCGAAATAGAAGTCGAAAAATTTACATACTTTGCAATCGCTGATATTCCTATCAACAATTGCAGAAATAAAATCAAGAATTACTAAAGCACAAAATTGTTTCAAAAGTTTGGCGATCAAATAATTTGATTCTGAAATCTAACATTAATATTTTTAATTCAATGTTAAGGAGTGCACTATTACATGGGTCAGGAACATGGAAGCTAACTAAACTACAGAATAAAAACTAAACAGTTGGCAAAACAGATGTTTAAGAAATGGTTTAATATAAATGTAATCATTCCTAATTCAGACCTCCACAGTAAAATCAAACAGGAACCAATCACCTTTCATATAAAAAGAAAAAGATGGAAATGGATAGGTCACTTTTTCAGAATGCAGAATACCAGCAATAGCCTTAATGTAGGCATCAGAAAAGGTGTGAAAATAAGGCAAACCTATGGCAACATGGAGAAGACAATGAGAAGAAGAACAAAAGCAGAAGGGATGGACGAGCTTGTCAGAGGTGAGATGCTTTTCTGATGACAAAGTGGGCTGGTGCAGGAGTTAAGGGCCTTATGAGCCACGGGGCAGGAAGAAGGCTAAGTAAGTATTTATATTTGAAACTGTTAGATTAAAAAAAAAAATAATCTCCTTCTGCTGAATAAATGGACATAAAATGTTTTTATATAGGAAATGTGATCATTACTTTTTATAAAAATGCTATTTAAAATGTTGTTTCACTTATTCTTAAAAGTAAAAAAAAATTACCTTTGCCACTTTTGCATCTGGAGTGAGTTTTAGTATATCCATGTGTTCCATACTAATACGGCGCATCCTTCCACTAGAATCTATAACAATAAGAAAAATTTAAATCTGAAATTTAAAAAATAAGGGTATAGTGCAGGGATGGGGAAACTACGGCCCGCGGGCCAACTGTGGCCCGCTAGAGGGTTTTATCCGGCCCGCAGACAGAATTTTAACTTGCCGATCCGTGGCGAATATAAACATACATTATACGTCCATTTTCTTGTCTACTTTGTTTAAAGCTATTTTTGTTCTTTCTTTTTTAACAAAGTACTGATGACCTTTTTACTTTCTCTATTTTTGTTCGGCAAGACATAAATTGATGGAAATAGTTAGCACAGACAGCTTCAATTGGTAAAATGTTGAAAGCAGAAGTTCCTTATAAAATAGCCATAGATTAGCTCCAACTAGTGTTTGTCTTTCTCGAGGAGCTGACATATGGAATCTAATATAGGTGAATTGTACTTCACATGAGGCAGACTACACATTTTTAAGTTCCAACGAGCGAATTTTTCTGCCGGGGGGAGTTCTAGCATTATTTACTGCGTATGGAAAGATTGCACACATACAACGTCATAGTAAATAATGGTGAAATTATTAAATGTATAAAATGGCTACTGCTTTTTTGAGTTATTTGTAAAATTTTTTAACCCCAAAATGGCAACTAAAAAACGCAAAGTTGATGTAGTGTGCCATGCGTTCAAGGATGAATTGACTTTATTTTATTTCGGAAGTTAGAATTTTTATTTTAGAAGTTTTTACTAGGCCCACCAAACTTTTTTTTTCTAGAGTTATGGCCCACAACCAAAAAAGTTTGCCCATCCCTGGTATAGTGTATTCTATAATGCACAAACAATAGAAAGAATGAGTTGTGAAATTCCAAAACTTGCACACTAACAGCACTTTAGGGGGGGGGGGAAACTAGGTTATACATTTCCTTTATTATTATTCTTTCCTTTATCTATATTCCTTTATTATCTATTCCTTATTATGGTTACATATTTTCTTTTCGCTAAAATTTTCACTAGCTTAACTCATTTTTTAAAGAAAAAAATTACTTATTACTCTTTGTTATTAGGTGCATAATAACACTTTCCCATTCCAAAATTTTCACTGAATAGTAATCAATTAGTCTTGCACTTGATTATTTAAATAATTGTGATAACTCCTCATAACCATTAAAATAACAGAAGCTCTAACTTTGGATGTTTCTTTCCTCAAGATTGAGCTTACTTTTTTTTCATTCAAGTCATTCTTCAAGAGAAATATTTAAATAACCTAGTATTCATATCAAAATTAACTTTTAATATCTCATAAGCAGCATAGATCAGTTGTAAAAGTTATTATTAAAATAGAAGAAAAATTTTTAAGAAAACAAACATTTGTTTGTGGAGCCTCATCAGCCATATAATAACAGCAGAATATTTAAAATGAAAAAGGATTTAAGAAAATTAATTTGTTAATTTTATTACTTGTCATTTTATTTTTTGTTTCAAGTGAGAACCTGCTTGGAAAAAAAATCTTTCAAAAATCTTACATGAAAAAAAAAAATCTTTCAAGCAGTACACAAGTAATGAATACTTTTTTCCCCTGTTAAAGAATGTTTTATTATTAACTGAAAATAAGGATTTTAATTAAAAATCTATTAAATATATCTATTTCAATGTGAAAAATGCTAAAGTTGTATGGGAAATTCAAATAACTTCCAAATGAACAACAAAACTGACAATATAATTTGGAGAAAAAAAAATTATATGAGCTTTTCTTTTAAATGAATGATAATAAATGAAAAAGACTTACTGCTTGATAATGAGCTTTTGCTGCAAGAAAGGGCAGCAACATTCTGAGTAACAAGGGATTTTTGCAAGTCAGCTATGCAATGCTGTGCAGTTATTTCACCAGCATGGTCGCCAATCTATTATGATGAAAGGAAAAAATTAGCATATTAATACTTATAAATGGAAATGAAGAGCTGAAAATAAGTCAAATATTGTTTAACCTACTTTTTTTTAAATTTATTTAAAAAAATTCTGCTTCTATTTACTTAGCTTGACATCTGCTAGATGTTTCAATAAAAATCTGCTTATCATTATGTGTGACCATTTTTAATGTTTTCATATAGAAATCACTTTTAAAATTTAAAAAAAAAAAAAAAAAAAACATTGCTTTTCGAGCTTATAAATTTTTTTTCTTTTTTTAAATAACAAACTTGAATGGTTAAAAACATTACAAATATATTACTAATCTCAAAATTTAAAAAAAAAAAACAATTCCACATTAGTTCATTTTTATTGATAATAAACTGAATAAATTTACTAGTTCATAGTAAAAAGTAATAAAGCATTATTTACTACTTGAGATTTACGAAAAAAAGTATATTTTAAAAACTATACCAATTAAAAAGTAATTCAGGGTAACAAGTTTTCAGATGAACTCATTGTAAATTTTTAATAAAGTTTATATTAAACATGGCAACTAAATATGGTGAAAGAAAAGACAAATGCTAATATTGATTTGTTTACTTAATATTATTATTATTTGAAAATAATAATATTAAATCTGTTTACTCACACAACTTCACATTAGTACAAAGGCAAAAAATTTGACTTGTGCTAATAATGCAGAGAACCTTTTTCGTTAACATTTTTATCACACTTATAAACATTTCTTTTTCAGACCAGTGCTTCCCAACCTTTTCATGGCCGTGGATAGTTTGATAATTTTACTGTGGTCTGCTATGGGGAGGGAATTGATTGTTTATATTTAAGATTTTTGATTTATTAATTTTAATTTAATTGTATTTAAACATGTCTTCAAAATAAAATACAATTACATGTGGTGTATCCGTACGACTTTAGGTAACCCCTCTCAGCTCCCAATAATAAACCTCTCGTCCATGGAAAGTCGTACAAACCCGAGAGAAATAAAACCACAGTAAATAAAATTAAAATAACAGTGTGGTACCATTTGATTTACAGACCAGTACGAATCAGCAGCCTGAAAGTTGGAAACCATTGCTTAACCATAATTTTATCAGTCAAAAACATTTGATGAAAATTTATTTCACCTAAAAATTAGTCAGTTATATATAAATAGAAAATGTCTTTTAAATAATAGATGCAAGATTTATAAAAAGATTTCCACCCCTTATTTAATGTATTGTATAGATAATTATTTATGTTTTCTTATAAAATCAGTGCATAAGGTTTTTTCTAGACCATTGCTTATTTATCTTCATGAACTATGATGACATAATGGTTTGAATGATGTTTTATGGTAACTTTTTAAATAAGATTTGAATTAATACAAGAATTAAATTAGCTCCAGAAAACCAACTTATTAGTCTCTGGTCAAATTATTAGCTGCACTGTATTTTTTTTTAAATAATTACATGTTTTGCACAAGTTTATGTGCAATACTTTTATATTTAAGTATACATGTATTGGGTTTTCATTCAGGAGATTTTTTATATACTTCCCATTTGTATTTATTTTTAATGTACTGCATTGCTATGCTAACCAATCGATACACGAACGTAAACAAGTGCAAACCTGTTTCAGTCACGTGCGTCAGTTGAGGATGTGTTTCTGTCCCTCATGAGCTGTTTTTACTTGTTTCGTAGTCTTATACTACCTGACTTGTTTGTTTTGTGTGCAGTGTTGAAATAACCAATTGGAACATTTTCATCATGGGTAAAAAAGGCGATCTTTCATCAAGTAAAAAAGTTGAAGTAAAGGCCCTCCTGAATGCTAAAATATTTTAAAGTCGCGAAATATCACGAAAATGGAAGGTTTCTGAAGCTAGCGCATGGAGCATTGAGAAGAAAATTGAGTCAGGGTAGGAATTGAGCCCAAAACGAAAGTAAAGATGCAGCAGAATTTTACATTGCGTCTAATAAGTTGGCCAGGGTCTGTAGAAAAGTAGAAATTCTCACTAAAACTGTGAAAATTAAAACTTTGATGAGAGTTAAAATTCACAATATTAATAGTAAGTTAATTTAGTTTCTTAAAATAAAAATAATAATTTTAAAAAATAAAACAGCTATTTCTAAAAAAACGAAAAATGGCTGGCAAAATAAATTACCTCTTTAGAAATTTCAAGATGTCGATTAGCAAAGCATAATGCTTGCTCTTGATTTCCAATGGCAGAATGCGCATTTCCTAGACTCCAATAAGCTCTTCCTTCACCAATTTTATCATTCAGTTCCTGGGCAATTTTTAAGTGGCGTAAATGATATTCAATGGCAGTTGGATAGTCGTGAAGTAATGTATACGTATTTCCTAAACTATAATATGCTTGAGCTTCCACAGCTTTGTCTCTCAGCTCAATGGCTAAATTTAAAGTTTTCCTATTAAAAAAATAACAGAAATTAAAGAAAACACTACAATATAATTAAAAAAGTATATTACCCTACACATTTAACCTATCTTTAAGCCACATTCAAGGAGAAATCCAAGAAACAGAAAATTGTTTGTTAAATCCAGTTGCTTACTAAAACCAACTTTAAATCTAGTACAAAAAAATAATAACAAGAGTTGCTTACAGATAATCTTCATTAAGAAGAGAAAATACATTAATATTTTCAATAGAAAATATAATTCTATTGAATACAATAGAATCCACAAATCTATATAATAGGAATATCTGAAACAATAGGACACACATTATATAAGAACCTGTTTAATAGGCACAAAATGGGTTTAATAAGCACAGCTGAACAGGGTTTAATAAGCACAGAAAAATGCTTATTAAACCCAGTCACTAGCTAAAACTAAATTTAAAGCTAGAAAATTTAAGAAGAAAAAAAAAACTAGCATAAGTTGCTTTTAGATTATCTTTAATAAGAAGTGAAAATACATTATTTTCAATGGAAAATATATTTCTCTCTCTCTCTCTCTCTCTCCCTGTTGAATACAATAGGATCCACAAATCTAATAGGAACATCTTAAACAACAGGACCAAAGAACTCGGGAACATTTAAAAAAAAAGTAAAAACAAAATTAGATCATTTTTTGATGCAATAGACAACTACTAGACCATAGGTTTCCAACCATTTTTTGATCACGATCTACTTTGCAACATAAAAATTTTTTAAAGCCTTCGTTCAAATAACAATAATAGATTAATTTTTTTTTCCCATCATTTTAAATTTTTTAACATTTTTGCTATGGCATACTTCCGTGTTTCGAAGTCTTTAAGTTAATAAAAACATTCTTAATACCAAATATATATTTATACTGAAAACGTTTTTTATACTAATTATAATAAAATAACTCATTTGTAAGATTTTAAAGCGTTTGTAAAAAAATAAGTTCAACAAAACACTTTGCAATAAAAACTAAATATTACAGTGATATTTATAAATATTATTTTAATATGCATTATAAAAATTGTGAATAAATCAGGTCAACGTGTGTATTTTTTAGAAAAGCTAATACCATGTTAACCATGCTTCAAATTAAATCAGAGAGTTATAATTCGTAAATTAAATGAAAAATTCAAAAATAATTATTTGATAATATCCCTTAGAAATATTTAACAAAGGAGAAAACATGTAAAATATAGAGATAACGTAACTTAAAAAGACAATTAAAATTCTTTATCAATAATAAAACGAGTAAAAACAAATAAAAATTTTAAAGGAAGAATAAAATTAACTATAACTTAAATAATAAATTTATAACTACTTTAAGAAATGCTAAAAATAGCATGTTAATTAAGATAAACAATAAATCATCCTTATAGGCAAAATTTAAAGAAGCTATAGGAGTACAAAAAATTTAAATTCATACAAGCAAATTTCAATTTCATAGCGCAATTCAATTTTAAACTATAAAGTGGGTATTACAGTACTTTCTTGTCGTCATTAAAAAGCTTCTTTTAGACAAATAATTTTAATATATCTGCTTAAAAAATTAAGAATTTAACAACCTTCTAGAAATCTCTAATACCCCTTCTGCTTCAAATACCCATATTCTTGAAAAAGTTTTCACAATGTTCAACCCTTCAATTACTTCAATAATCACAGATCATTTTAGGTACAAAATAATAGTTAATTTATAACAGACATTAAGTTTAAAATATAATTAATAAACTTAAAATATTTTCTACAATAAGAGGTACAACTCACAGCAAAATTTAACTTTTATAGCAGGCAAATTTTGGAATTCACAAGTGCATAGTTATTCTTTTATTAAATAAAAATGAAATTCTACTGTGGAAGAAAGGTTTCATTTTCTTCAAAAAAAAAAAAAAAAAAATTCTCTCCAGCAGTAGCCTATGTTTGAGAGACCTGGTGTTTTGACATCAATAAATTTAGTTTTTCTTATTTCTTTGGAATGAAAAATTTAAAAAAAAATCCAAATGATCATTTAAAAATAAAATGTTTGTCAAAATTCAGGACAAACAAATAAAGTCAGAAATTTCAGTGTAAAAATCGGGACAATAAATACAGAATATTTTGTATAAAAAAAAAAATCAGGAATATTCAGACGACTATTTCTGATATTATATCATAATACCAAATGTATAATGTTGACACCAATTAAAGGACAGCATAAATAAGTATATAAATTTCCAGAAACAATGGGGATATGATTAATTTGTATATAGTCTGAAATGACGAAAAACATGTACTTGTTTATTTCATTTAAATATACTGAAACATAATTTACTTTATCTTGTGTTAGTAAGAATACATTATTAATATGAAATCTATGAAGTTTTATAAAATAAACTTGACTCTCTTGATTTAAAACCAAACTAATTTTCAAGAAATAAAGCGATTAATTTTAGCCAAAGCATAGTTTTTAAAACAGCATGTAATTAAACAAAGCATATAATTTGAAGATATTCCAGAAAACGCATAAATACTAACTTATAATGATCAGCAGCGATTTCAAATTCTCCTAAAAATATATGAGCATTTCCTAGATTATTGTGCGCTCTCCTTTCAGCAGCTAAATCACCAAACTCTTTAGCAATTTTCAGTCTCTGAAAAAAAATTTCCATGATTAAACTAAACATAGAACATATACCAGATTACTTAAGAAAACAGCAAACTAAAAAAATATGTAACTCACTCGACTTAAATGTACTAAAAGCACATCTTACCGTAAAAGAATAATGAAATATACAATTTTTAAATGCAGACTTACTTTGTTTGGAACAGAAAGTTTTAAAAGTTTCCAGTATAATTTTATGAAGGCTGAACAACTCATAATAGTTTCAACTCAATGAGTAGTAAATCTTTATAGTAGTTGCATTAAAAAAATAACCAGTATCAATTACATAAAATTCCCTCAAGCCAATATACAATTAAAATTTGTAATTGAGTTCAAGATGCTCACTTTCAATAAAATAATTTCAAAATAGGGTTTCAATAATCGACCGAATTTATAAAAGGAAGTTGGATGCAGATCTACTTTGAATAATCAAAATATTCAATTAGTTGAAATAACATTCATTTTTTTTAAAATCTATTTTCTTCAAAAAATTTTAAAACTGGAAGTTTCTTTTAAAAGCAGTATTATAAATTATTTATATTTTATTTTAATATGACCATTTAATAATAGCCCTTTAGTTAAATAGATATGAAGATATTTTAGTTCAAGATTCACTTACACAATACACGCAATAGTACTCCTTCGATCCTTTTCTAAACAAACCATTTAAACTAAGTATTCCGATTAATTAATAAATCTCATTTATTTATATTCCTTTGCAAGCCTGTAAGATTTTCATTTGTACTACAACAGGGTGTGTAGCCAGATTATTCAATAAAAAATAAGCACCTTTTCAGCACTTAAAAAATATTTTTAAGCACTTTAAAAAAATATCATAATTAGGCAGGGTAGGAACGTTTTTGACAATTGACAGTTTTATTTTGTTTTAACCGTCATGTCAAAAAAAAAAAAACTTTTGTTATTGTTTTAGACATTTGTCAAAAATCATGAAATTTTGAATCATGTAAAACGAATGGCGTTTTCATACGCTACGGACTGACAATACACCGAAATAGATTGGGGTTGAATTAATTGTGAAAAAGTTGAATAGAACAATATGAACTGTGTCCTTTTGCTTAATTCGTAGCGAAAATCAACATGGTAAAATCTCATTTTGAAAAAGGGAAAATTAATCACTTTTTAAAAACACCCAATGAAAAAAGCACCTTTAAGGGCTTTTAAAAAACGAAAATCAAAAATAAACACCTTTAAGCCCTTTTTAAAAACGCTACGCACCGTGTACAATATTTAAGTTTTTTTTAACCCAGATACATAACACACTTCCGTTACAAAAAAATAGAAGCCATTGTGAAATAACCAAACAAAAATAATGATAAAAAAAAGGACAGAGCAATGAAAACAACAACTTTCAGATTTTTTTAGAAAAACAATAGCAACAAATTTTACTAACAAATATAATTTTTTTGTAATTCAACAGAAAAACATCAATTCTCTGCAGTAGAAAGAAAGAGTTTTTTTTTCCATTTAGAGACCTCAAGTATAAATGAATAACGACAGCTTATTATTGAAATTAAAGGAAAAAAAAGTGTAAGTATAAATTTTTTTCTAGCTGCTTGCATGAGGATACTCCTTAGCAGTACAAATCTAGATTTTTTACTTGTTTTTATTTACTTCATGTTCTTGTATTAACACATTTTTTCTTGTCTAATTTGGTTCCATAAAATTTGCATTTTGTTATTTATCTATTTACCTTTTAAGCAAGTATTTTGCAGATGTTATAAACAAAAAATTATTATAATTTTTATTAAATATGAGTAAAAAAATATTAACAAGAATCCACTTTTGTTAATGCAGATATTTGGATGAAAAAGGTTTAAGTAATTGAGGTGTAAATAATTTATTTTGTTTTACAAAAAGTTCAATAAGAAAATTCCATGAAAAACTTAATAGTACCTCTTCGTGGTAAGTAATAGCCTCATTAAAATTTCCAAGCAGATAGTGTGTGTTACCCAAGTTTCCACATGCTCTTCCTTGTGCGCTTCTATCTTCTAGCTCTGTCATTATTTTTAAGCTCTGGCTGTAAAATTGAAGAATACAAATTAATGGACTTGATACAGCTAAATCAGCAAGAAGAATCTCTTTTCATTGATTAGTGCTGTAAAAATATATTAGAAGTTATCAGGTTTCTTTAATACACGAGCAAAAACTTTTATGTTAAAAGTTTTTGTTCTTGAGATTAAAGAAACTTGTATAACTGCTAAAAAAATACAATGCATAATATCGCAAATAACTGAAAAGTCAGTTACAGTAAAAGTTTTGTAGATACATATATCAATCAATTTATAAGAAATTTACAAAAACAAAGACAAATGGGCTTCTAGCTCTGTCATTTTTAAGCTGTGGCTACAAAATTGAAGAATACATATAAATGGGCTTTATACAGCTAAATCAACAACAAGAATCTCTTTCATCGATCAGTGCTGTAAAAATATATTACAACTTATCAGGGTTCTACAAAACAAAAAATTTTTAATTCAAGTTTTTTGTTCTTGTAATTAAAGAAACCTGTTTAATTGCTAAAAAAATTTTGAATGCAAAATATCACAAATAAATAATTAAAAAATCAGTTACAGTAATAAGAATAATAAATAAATTTAGATTTCAATTAAAAATTTACAAGATAACAAACACAATGAGAAGGAGATAAAACAGGTGGTTCCTTAATAAATAATTTCAGAAATATAAAATATTAATGATTTCAAACCATAAAGCGGGTGGAATTTATATCTTTAAATTATATCCATACGATTTTTCAAGAACATGTAGTTTTATATATATAGTGAATTTAACATACTCATAATTTTCAACTGCTTTCTGTAAGCAAGCCTTAACCTCTTCAGGAAATTCTCCTGGATCCTGGTGTCCCATACAAGCAAATCGTTTTCCTTTTGCATGATATACATTGCCTAAATTGTAAAGTGCCCTTCCTTCTCCCACCTGAAATAAGGCATTACTTTTATTACTAAGAATAAAATAAAAATATTCTATTAAATAGGTGTAATATATTTTGTCTAAGTATATGCGTTTTCATGCATACAAGAGAATCTACTATTTTTTCAAAAGAATGAATTACTTTAAAGTAATTACATAACAGTAAAGATGGAGTTTCATAAAAGCAGAATATTATTTTTATGCCCACACAGATAAGAAACTTCTCGAAATTTAACAGCATGCGTATAACTAATGTATTTTCTGTTGGGTGAGGAATTTCCTAATTGAGATTCTTGTTTTCGTAAAGTAAAATTATGAATCATGGCTTTTAAAGCATATGCTATCTTTTTTAATTATGGCTTTTAAAGCATATGCTATTTTTTTTTAATTATGGCTTTCAAAGAATATGCTATTTTTTAATTATAGCTTTCAAAGAATATACTTTTTTTTTAATTATAGCTTCAAAAGGATATGCTTTTTTTTTTCCTTTTTAAATTATGGCTTTACAAGCATATGCTATTTATTTTATTAAGGTTTTTAAAACATGAGCTATTTCTTTTAATTACCTAGTCTTAAAAAATTTTTACTACCAGCCATTTTGTTAAAAAAATCTTTTTTTAGTTTATCTATTTCTTAATTTAGCAAGAGGGACAATTAATCACAAATTTTCAACTCACTTAAGATTCTAAGACAGTTTAAGATAACCTTGAAAAAATAATCATATGGCACAGAATTCATTTTATTAATTTGTTGAAAACAAATCAAAATAATGGAATATTATTCTAAATAAATATGTTAAAAATTACAATATTAAAAAATTTATCTAGAAACAGGCTTACTTTTTAAAAATCAACAATACCCTGAAGAAGTATAAAAATATGTTTTAATGAAGAAGTTAATTTTCAAAATTAACAAATAATACATTTAAAATGGTAGGAAGGTACTCAATTTACGTCGCACTAGAGTTACACCATGGGCTATTGGCGACGGTCTGGGAAACATCCCTGAGGATGATTCGAAGACATGTCATTGTAATTTCGATCCTCTGCATGGGGGATGACTCTACCCGAGGACCTGTGCACGAAGTCAAGAACTTTACGGTAGAACAGTTTAACGTGGACCGATCTCGTGCAGCCTCGGTCCCTGCGCAGGCTGATCAAAGTGGTCATCCACCAGCTTACTGACCGCAACTAATAATGCCTGACTTTGGTGTTTTACTCGGAACAGTGTCCTTATAATCAGTTCACTGTGAGATACCCCTGTATCAGTGCACTGCATTTAAAATAACAGCAAAAAATAAGCATAACTTTTTAAAAACATGGGGAAGAAGAAAAAAGGGCTTTAATTTGATTTTTGTCCCTCAAAAATTTTTTAAAAAGAAAGGGGAAAAAAAACATGCTTTTTTAATAGTTAAATAGCTTCATATAAAGTAATAACAAGGCATGCCACAATAGATATAACAACACTAGTTGCTTCAGCAATATTTAATCAATAAGACAAATTTAAGAAGAAAAAAAATCACTAAGTTTCCTCTGTAATGTTCTTTTTCTTTTCCCTTTTTGGATCTTTTTAGACAAAACTGTCTCAAATAAAACAAACAGAAAAAAGTCCAACTAAAATAGTGTAAAAACTGAACTACAAAGGATTAACTGTTTAACCTTCCGTTAGTCGCGCGCACCTCACAGGTGCATCCCTACTGCATTTCCACCTCCTTTGCCGTCAATAGATTTTTCCGGGGGTCGAGCCTAATGTTATGTTCCTAACTTTGGATTACTCAAATGTCCGTGTAAAACCGACCTTAGAACATGTCGATGGAGAGTTGGAACCGCTCAAATCACCCCTCTGGTGCAGCGCGACCATTGACGCAAGTATTATGGATATAATATTTTTATGAATTAAATATATATATTTTATCTCATTTTCTGTCCTACTCAACGTAGCAGGTATAAATGGTCAAGTTATATACACAGAAAATGGTTACGGAGTAAAAAACCGCAGAACCTTCTTGCGTCAATTGGTTGAACATCTTGTGATGGAGGAAGAGATCCGACGCGGGAGCAAGAAAAATTTATCTTCGGTACTTCGCTAAATAAGTTTTTTTGATATTTATCTCTGTAAAGAGTCTTAAATTGGTAACAATTAACTATTTAAACTAGACTAAATTTCATTTGGCTTTCAAAAAATCAGAAACACCTCATAGGTGCAACGCGATTAACCATGTCGGAAACAAGTGCGCGACTAACGGAAGGTTAAAAAAACTAGAAATAAAACCAGAAAATGTAATTAATGAGATCATTCAGTCATCTTGAAGTTCAAACACTTACTTTATCTTTAAGTTTTCTTGAAATGGTTAAGTGCCTTTCACAGCACGTTACAGCTTCATCAAATTTTCCAATGACCTTCAAAGTGTTGCCTAAATTTCCACTAGCTTTTCCTTCTCCTAATTCATCTCCAATAGCTCTGAAACGATAAATTAACACTTTGAATAATTCAATGTGTTTTTATGAAAGTTTAAGCAAATATTAATTTATTTATTCAGAAAAGGAATAAAACAAATTCCATCTCAAAATAAATTATTGTACTACACAGGATATTGATTTTTTTTATTTTTATTTTGTATGAAACTAAAATATAAAAATGATTCTTCCTTTAAAAAAAATAATAACTTTTTAACTTTTTTGAATTATATTAAACTATATTAAAATTTAGAGAACAAATCCACAGGTGTCACTCTAAAAGTATTTTAAGACTGAATTTATTTTTTTGATCAATTAACACATTTAAATTTTCAGAAATTTATAGCTCTTCGACTCCAAAATGCACTTACTATAAGGACTCCTATATTAAATCAATTATCAAGTTTCTTCCCCTTCATTTTGTTAATTCATTTTTTACAGCAAACAAGATAAAAATAACAACTAACCATGTACATCTTTTTATATTAATCACTGAATAATAAACCACAAATTTTTTCTTTACTTATCTCTACTTATTTTTGACATCACCATTATTTATTTTTTGTCCTATCTCCATAATTTTTTTTTTTTTTAAAATAATCTCAATTTGACTTTGGCCAGCGTTTCAAAACGTTGGGGGGAAATAAAAACAAGAAAAATTTATATACAGCAATAGTACGAATATTGTTTAAGCAAGCAGGGATTGAATTTCAATCTCATTTTCATTACTGAGCTACATCATTACTTGATCATTTTGCAATAATTACAATTGACAATGTTAACATTAAAATGTAATTTTTATTTAACAAAAAAAATTTGCTTTGTTTTTAAGGAAAAACAAAAATTTTAACATTAAAAACAAATGGAAAAATATTAATTTATGAAACTTAATCTACTGATTTTCTCTCAAGACTGATTTCAATCCCCAGGACTGAAGAGTGGCACCCATGCAAATCAATTAAAAATATGATTAAACAACTGACACTTTTCTATGGGACATGAAACTAGTCAACAAAAAAAAAGACTTCTATTAAATTGGACTTATAAATAAAAAAATCTAAATTATGAATTGAACACTTGATATCTATGTAAAATACAATCAGTAGTTAATACTCGAAAAATAAACAGCTAAAAATAATTAGACAAATTTACATTGAAAAAATTAAAAATAAATACTGTAAAATAAAAAGGAGAGGATGATAGACATTAAATGGTTAAACAGTATGTATGATTTAATATTTGATGAGAGGAAAATTTAAAATTCTGTATTGTTTTACCTTGCTACAGTTAAATCACATCTGTGATAATCCATAGCTTTTGTATAATCTCCCAAGTAAAAATAAGCATTTCCTAGTTGACTATATATGGCGCTAAGAGTCTTTAAATCATCTGTTCCAACTCTGATAGCTGCTTCAAAGAACGCAACACCTCCACTAAAGTCACCATTTTTACACAAACGCTCCCCTTCAAGGGCTAGCTCTAAACAAGCATTTCTTTCCATGTTTTTGAAACTGAAAAGAAAAACATGACTTTAATGGTTTAATGATAAGTAAATTTAATAAATAATCTCCATAACGAAAAATACTTATGAACTCAGTATTAAGATTTCTCAATATAAAATATGATACTCTTTGTCTGTATTGGCACTACAGCCCACAGTTGGCCATAGCCTGCTGCACAATATTTCTCCAGACAACTCTGTCCCTGACCTTGATTTTCCAGTTGGAGATCTTTAAAGTTTTAAAATCATTCAAGATCATTTTTTTCTTATGTCTGTCTGTTGCAAATGGGCTTCCAAGGCAAGATCATTACTGCTCGGCTGTCAGGTGATCTCTCAATGTGAACTAGCCATGAAAACCTCTGTGCTTCGATAAATTTTACAATATTTCTAAGCTAAGAGCTCCCAGTTCATCATTAACTCTTATTCTCCAATAAGTACTAGTTAGCTGCATGAGGTCATAAATTTTTCTAAGAATTTTTGTTCAAAAATTCGTAAATTATTTATATCTTTTTTTGACAAAGTCCAAGTCTCGCAACCATATGTTGCCACGGGATTGATGACTGTTACGTAATTTTTTTATTTAATTGCTCTCACGATTAACATATATACATATTTTTTTAACAGAAACTATGATGAAAAATAGCTTTGGCCTCTTTTCTGGATTCTTCAATTAATTTCTTCTGAAATTGTATTTGAGGTGTTTATAATTGAGCTATCCCCGGTTTCAAATTTAAAGTTATCAACTATCAAATAGCACTGTAGTTGCTGGTAAGATTAGTTTTTTCCATATATTTTATTTTTTGCTGGTTAATTAAAAGGCGGGCTATGCCTGCTTCAATTAGTTTTTTTTTTTTTTTTTTGTTAGTGCAATTAAAGCATTTCAAATATGAAATTAACCCTACGCAAAATTAGACTACGAAGTTATGATTTTTACCGGTATTTTTCATTCAATCACACAAAAATACTTTTTTCTTTTCTTTTTTTTTTAATATAATTAAGACTCCAGCTCAAAGTGCTCTTACTGTTCAAAAATTGTAATCAAACAGAGAAAGAACTAAGAAATAGAACAGCTATTTTGAAAATAATAATAAATAATTTCAGAGTTTTTGTTGCTTACATTATCTGGACTTGTTATAATTCTAATAAATTATGTGACATATTTAAGGGAAATCACAGAAATAGAATAAAATAAACAAGATTTGTGCAGAAAATTCAGATTGATTTAATTTTCAAGATCAGGGGGAATATATATATATACTTATTTTTTTATTTTTCAATAGAAAAAATCGTTTGCCAATACAGGATTTGGTGAGCCTGAATTAGTATAAATATATAAGTTTATATTAAAGGATTTTTAAATGAAAAGTGAAATATAATGCATTCTACTAGTTGATAACCTTACATTTGACTCGAATAAATCAACGGTAGAAAAAGAAATAGCTCTAGTGACTAAATAAATTTACAAGTTAATAAAAGACTTCTTAATAATTTGTTTGAATACTTCAACACAAAATTTTTAATGTAAAAAAGCAGCTACATCCTCTAAAAGCAATTGTTTACTTAATGAAATTAATAGGACAGTATAAAATGATTAACGGTACATCAAAAGAAACCATTTGTATGATTAAAAATAAAATTAAATTATGTCCATTACTCTAAACATACTGTAAGAATTTTACTGCAATCAAGGAAATGTACCTAGTCATAATTTTTTTGTTTACATTATAATCAGAAACGATTTCGAATATGGAAAATAAGAAAAAATAATAGGAGTTTATGCAAATCTATATTGTTTTACATAATGAAACAAAACTATCACTAAAACGTTTAAGCGATTTTCTAATAAAAATAACAAATGCATAACCCTAGCAGATAATCTAAAATCGATTACAGAAATCGCAGTGAAGATTAAATAAATATACTTAGTATAAAGTAAAATATTTTATAAAGATTGTTTTGAATAATATAACACAAGAATCACAATCTGAAAAAGCCGTTACTTACTTCACTAGCAGATGTTTACTTTATGAAAACCACTCGATACAAGAAATCTATTAACTTGTAAAAGTAAACTGTAAACAAATTTCAAGATATCATTGTAAGAAACCATTTATATGAGTCAAATTAAAATCAAATAATGTCAATCGCTTCAAAATAAACTAAATAAGCCTGGCAGAGTGTTCGTTTTACTAACGATCTTTTTCAGTTGTGAAAACAAGATGGCTCAGCTCAGTCAGTTGGTTTCTGACGTCATTGGTGAAACCCCGCCTTTCAATGCTTACCTACGGGAGATAGAAAAATAAAAATTTATTGCTGGTTCTTTTTTCGTAACTAATATGAATTCAGCTATGTTACATAGTCCGGTTTGTTTTGCATCAACATATCCGTAATAATGAATATTTAAAACTGAATACTAAATCGGTGAGGACGTAATTTAAACCTCTAAAATATGTATCTTAATATTAAATAAACGCTGTAAAATCTTATATTTAATATCAAATAACAAGCATGTTGGAAAAAAAAAATTTTATTAAGCGTAAAACCAAAATTATTTTTTATTCTAAAATATTTTTTGTATATTATTGAAGATATGATTTTATTTTATTCTATCTATTCGTTTATATTTTTCTATGCTGTTAAAGAATGAAAAAATTTCCGTAAATAAAAAATACCTGACGTGCAATGCAACTGAATCTTAGAAAAAATATGAATCATGGAGAAATGACAGTCATATTTTTCAAACCTTATATTTAAATTCTAGATTTTAAATAAAATAATGACAGTTATTTGAATGAACTAAACCTTTTTAAATGTGTATAAATTATTGACAAAGATTATTTGATTGTAAGAAAAAAGCAATAAAAAAGGAAAGAATCATTAAAGTTGGTCATTAGATTGTAGCAAATCGTTAGATTTGCAGATAAGAAGAAACGTTGATTTGTTGGGATAATTAGTTCAATGATTTCTGAAATACTTTTGGAGGCGAATAATTTAAAAATTATCATAATAAAAAAAATTTCTTACTAAAAAATATCTTAAAAGTCGTTTCGGCGGCCGTTTAGGGAGTTCAACTTCACATTACATTTTATTTTTCTGTTCAAAAACAGTAAGACTTAACTTGATATTACGAAAGTGTATAGAAAAATGTACAAGGAGAACAATGGAGTAAGAAAATTTAACATTCAATACTTACTGTTAAATTTGTAGTATAAAAAATACCTCGCGGGCTGCTCTGCGGCTCTCAGAAATGCAACTAAGAAGTTGAAATTCGGCGTGCTGAAAGGACTATTTTTGCTTCTGATCTTAACTCAAGCTTTTTTTCGAAACACCGATTTCTTCGAAGTCTTTTTACCACGAATGATAATCGCTTTTTTTTTTTTTTTTTTTTTTTTTTTTTTTTTTTTTTTGCTTTACAAAACTGAAATAAAAAAAATTTAATAATAGGTTTGGAGTTTATTAATTCATAGATTTGAAGTTTTTTTTTTTTCCTTCCGAAAAAAATAAAAAAAACATACCATTGCTTTGCAGATCCCGCAGCTACTTAGTTGAAATCTCAGGACCATTTTTATTTATGAGTTTAACATTTGTTTTAGAAGTTTAGTTCCTTTTTTTTTCAAGATATTTTTTTTTTATTGCTCGAGATCTTTATTTTAAAAACTCAGTACAAAAAAAAAAAAGAGTGAGAAAAGAAAAATGGTGAGAAAGAGAGATTAAATATTGCCAGATATAAAACTTATCATTGAAGTTATAATTTTTATAAATATAAAAAAATTTAGTCAAGAGTAAGGAGAAAACCAGTTTCCATTTGAACTACTGCAAAGATAGGTCTCATTAACGAGTAAACTTACTTCATTAATTTTTTCTTATTATATCACACATTATATATTACTAATTTAAATTTTTATTTCAAGTAAAGTTGATTTTTGAAAAAAATTTAAGAAAAAAAAAAGACACGAGGTTGGTGAGCGGAATGAATAGGGACGATGCTTCCAAGTTAAGTAACAAATAAAATCAATTTTGATGAGGATTTCTTGCAAGGTAATTCCTACTTTGGATCAGCTCGATCTTATGAAGTTTTATAAATAGATCTTTGATTACATATCATTATGGATAGATTACAAATCTGACAAAGAAACTCTTCTTTTAAGGTATATAGTGCCAAAATTCAGTTTTATAATGAAATTAAAAATAAATTTCAATAACAACGTTTTCCAAGTTCTTTAATTTCTGCTGCAGGTAGGTTTCCTTTTTTGATGTCTATTTTTAGTTTATAACCGAATAAATTATAAGATTCAGCTTGCACTCTTTAACGATAATGTCTGAAAAATTTAAGCTTTCCATTTAATGTCTTTCTTTTTGTTCCCTCTTAATACATTGATATTTGTTTTATATTTTTTCAGAAAGAAAAATAATTGAATAAATATTTTATCCATGATATTTTTGTCACCAAGGATGCCCTTGCATTGAGTAAAATGATCGGATTAGTAAGAATTAAATAGTAGTCCCATGCTCCAGCATTTCTGGAAAATCAAAGAGAGGGAATTTTTTTGAAAAGATGTACTAACTAGCTAACTGCAGAGTTACTATTATTTTTTTTCCCTCGCTCTTTTTTTTTTCTTTTTCTTTTTTTTTAAGGACAGCTATTTTAAAATAAAAATGTTTTAAGTCTTTCTTCTTACATTGAATTTTTAAAAAAAGCGTACATAAAAAACGACAGAAGTTTCGCCGACATTATCACTTTTTCAATCGAGCTGTGATATGCTCATCCCATAAAACTGCAAGCAAATGTTATACTATCAAACAGCAATTTTCCAATATGATAAGTTTAGATATAAAAAATAAACTACATTTATAATCTGGTGAAATTCGCATAACAAATAAGACGTTTATGCATACGTGCACTGAAACAAATAGAATTCCTACTTATTACCATTTAACTGAAGAAAAAAAAATTTTCAATAGTCGTTTTACAGACGAGAGCTCTTTTCGTTTCCGAAGCGTAAAAGAATGTCCGCGTGACCCGAATTGTTACGGATGGAAAAATAGTCGATTTTTATCTCTGGTATATACGATGAAAATAAAAGCCTGTTGATATGAAAACAGCAATAGAAAGCTTATATTTTTAACCCCGACTAAGAGGCGATTGACAGACAAAAAAGAAATGGCGACAGAGTTAGGCGTAGGCCTCTCATTTGGTACCAACTGAGAAGAAAGAACTCTTTGAAGTTTCATAATGCATCCTTTATTCTTCTAATACAAAAAGAAAAGAAAAAAGATGATTTAATGGTATCATATTTGTCATCTAAAATTAAAAAGGGCTGAGTAATTTTTTTAAAGTGATGTTGTTAATGTGAATGTTTTATTTAGTTTGCAAAGTGAAAAAGAATTAGAAGAAGAAAAAGTCAACTAAGTGCGGAAGAGCCTTATCATAACTTTCTCATTCATGTTTTCTTAGCATTATCAACTTGAGATAAATCTGAATGACGAAATGGTGAATGAAATCAAAGTAGATGTAAGCGACTAATGCTGCTTAAAAACTATAGTAAATTAAGTGTTGATAACGTTTAAGTCGTTTGACTTAAAGTTTTTATTGCATTTTTTTTTTTTTAAATTCTTATAAATTTTTTTGCGACGATCGAAAATTAAAGTCTTCTCTATTTACTTAATTTATTATGTTATTGCCACTCCAAGACCCTTCGAGAAAATTTTAATTGTTTCGTTTTCGGTTACGGAAGAACAGTTTGATATCTCAAACACCTGTAACTTAAACAAAAAACGTTAATGAATAATATTGTATAAGTGAGAGAGAGAGAGAAAGAAAGGGCAACTGTGAAATTTTCCCCAGTGGAAAGCCTGTAGATTTCAAATAGTTTTCTTTTTTAGAAGACAGTAACATGATAGAACTTAATATTTTATTTTTATTTTGAGGAATTAACGCTCATACTATAATCAAATATATATTTTTTTTAATGATTTTTAAAATGAAGTAAAACATATCAAATTAGGAATTTCCAGTTATTTTTTTTATCAATGTAGGATAAAGGATATTATTGGGAAGAATAACAGCGAATAACAAATTTGTTGATTTCTGATATTAATCTTACCAGAAATATAATAACTAATTATTTCAAAATTTTAACGAAAATATGCTGGATATATTCTGGATGTGCTCAATTTTTTTTTATATAAAAATGAAAAAAAGGCAAGGCAAAAAAAGAACTTTTTTTATATTAAATGCCAGAATATTGTTAAATTTGTGAATTATTTAATTTGTAATAATAGCAAATTATACTGATGTACGTAAATACAATTTTTTTTTTAATTGTAACAAGCAAACAATTTGATACTATAATGTAATAACTTCCTCTGCGGAAGAAGTCGTATTACATTTTCTTCCAGTTTCGGCTGAGAAAACTTGGAGGTTTTCTTAGTTTTCCTTTCCATCTAGTGTAGATGATGGTCAATTTTACTCAAAATGTCTTGGTTAAAAAGGAGTCAGTCTCTATACTTGTCTTCTGGGATGAATTAAAAATTTTTCAAAATAAGGTGATGCATGTTTTTGCCTCATTGATTAGAATAAAATAAAATAAGAAAAAGATTATTTTTCTGAGCAGTCATTAGAGTTATTAAACGGGGCTACCAGAAAGCAGATTCTCGTGCATGCATTTGTTTTAAGAATAAAAATTAAATATTTTTTTTAAATAAATTTTTTAATTTTTATATTTAAAATAAATGCAGGTAAGAGTATTATTTTACTCTTTTTGTAAATATTAAAATATGCTTTTCTTTTTGTTCAAAATAATTATAATGCTATCGAATTTTCTAAATCACTTTATTGTGTAATAATTTAATTGGTTTAATGGCATAAATTTTAAAAAAAGTGCGAAGTTTTCTTCAATTTTAACGTTTTATCAAACAACCTTTTCTCTTCAGAGTTTGTAATGCTCGTAAAATAATTAAAAGTGCAAAAAAAAAAAAAAAAAAAAAAAAAAAAAAAAAAAAAAAAAAAAAAAAAAAAAAAAAAAANAAAAAAAAAAAAAAAAAGAAAGAAAGAAAGAAAGAAAACTAAAATTAATGCACGTAATTATCCAAAGTAATTCACATTATTTTAGTCAAATTAAAGTTAAGCCAAAACAGTTAAACTTATGCTCATTCGAGTTGCGAAATAATTTAAACGAAAACAATACCCGCAGTGATGGTCAAACATATGAACTGATAACATCTTCTTTTATCTAAATTAGTTTTTAAT